TTTCTCCAATGGCGAAAGTCCTATTGGCAAAAGTCTTATAGGCGAAATTTCGGAACCCCTTACACACCTATGTTCAACAATTTGTGGATAAATAAAAGTAAACATTGAAACGACATCCTATTGGTTTTTAGTAACTAAAAACAACACCCTTGATTGAAAAAATCGAGCTGCCATGGTTAACTCTTACTCGTAGCGATAATCTTAACTTTTTGTCTAATATCAAGTATGAATGAGTAGCATAGCTCCTTCAAGTAAAACTTGCTGTTCAAGTGTTGCACTGATCATCTTGTTTTTTTAGACACTTTTTTGGTAAATTTAATGAGAATAATCAGTAACCGACATAAACATAGTGAGCATGGAAATTATTGAACATGATTTATGTTCAGTTTTTTTTCTTCCGTTAGCGTTAGAATAAATTCAAATAGTGATTCGACTCGAGTAAATGGTTTTCTACAAGGATATGAGAAGATATAAATTACAGTTAGATTTTCCCAAATAAAGGAACTCCAGAAAAACGAAACCCTGATTTTTCAACATCTAGACTGTGTAGATATTATTTTGTTTAGACTTGATAGAACGATAGAGTTAATCATTCTATATAATATGAGACGTCTTCAAGTTTTCTGCAATACCTGATAGCTGAAATACAGCAATCTTACGGAAGTCCCTAAAGTCTTTTTTCATTTCCTATAGAAAAAAAACCAATGTTTGACCTTCAATCAAATTGCTATACCTCAGCTAAAAAATTTCAGAGAGAATATGGAAACATCTTATTCAGTAGAGAATTGTGAACTCTATCATTCTATGTAGTCTAAAATTTATGTATACGCGCTCTAAGCTTTGAAAAATCGAGATTTTGATTTTCTGGACTCTTTTTCTTTGTGAAAGTCTGAAAATAAGTTTTATTCCCTTATGGTTCTGTTGAAAATCATTCTCTCTATTCGAATCATTATTTGAATTCTTTATAACGCTAATGGCATTGGAAAAAAAATCATGTTGCTTTGTTTTGGTACCCATTGTATTTTTGAATTGTATATAAATAAATTCCATTCGTACCTGGTTGAACTTCATACAATAATTAGTTTTATTTTCCACGACACGATCATAGCCTATGTAATAATCATCGGGCCACTATCGCTGGTATACGAAGCAGAATAATATGCGCTATACTGGCGATTTTTTTATTTTTTTCATACATCGTATTGATAAAATAGGGTGAATCTGTTAAAACCGAGACAATTGAGTCGTTTTCAGTGCACTATAGTAATGTTGTTAATGCGTATGAGCTGTGCATGAACTAGTCACAGAGCTCACATGGGCCACAGTTACGAGATAAGTTTTTATTATAGATGGCATTAAAAAAATTCTTATTAGTAAAATATAGCCTGAAACTGTCTTTGTTCACGATTAATTTAAATTCATTCTAACAAATAATTTGAATTTGAGTAGAAAACATGTTCTGTCATCGCTTATAAATGAAATCGAAAGTCGTAAGCGCTATTGGTGATAGTGTCAACAAACATGGCATTTCAGTAGACATGCTTGAAACTGTTCTACTGGATCAACTGTAAGTTGCCGTGATCCTGGTTTTAATAAAAATTATATTTATCACAAGCATTTGGTATTATTATGAAAAACTTAAACATTAATTGTGATTGGTACATAGTCATCAGAGACAATGACAGAAGCGATTAAAATAATATAACAAATGTGGTTTGTCTATGATATGTGTTCTATTCTTTCTTTCATTTTTTCATCGTCATTGAATAAGTTTTATTTTTTTATGACCCATGATGATATTTATCATTTTTTTTCTTTTAAAAAAACCCTACTTGTTTAAGCAGAAAATGACGAAGATTATCAAAAAATTTGCCAAGAATACGGGATGCCAATAAAAAAAATTATGTTCTTTCTGAAAGAACAGAACTTAGGCTATCTTCTCATGTATTTATCTTAATTTTCATGTTTTTTGAGGAATGGCTTTAAAAATGAATTACTAAGAAAACATTGAATAATACAAAAGTATATAAATTTTGACAAACTATTTTTCCATAGTTATTGATACAACGCCTTTGAACAATTCCATTCAAGTATCGATGGTTCATCATCTTACAATTCCAACATCACAAGCATCATTATCTTCATTACATAAATCCTATATAGGTTTGCGTCCCAGGTCAGAATCATCAATAGGAACACAACGACAACAAACGAATGCCATTTCGACACAATTTAATACTGATAAATCAAGAATATATGAATCAAATAAGTCAATTTCTACAATATCAGATCACACAAACAACACTGATGAATATAAAAATATAATTTCTACTAGATTTTGAATTGAAATTATTACTCTCAATTCATTTTCTAATATTTATTTTTTATAAATTCGAAATAAGACACTTGTATTATTATCAAATATATTCTTTTCAATAACAAGTTTTTCCTCATTCTGATTATTGAAAACTATTTGTAGACATACATTAATAAAAATTATACATCCGTCGCAAGTTTACTTTGACCAACTTTAGTCGTTACTTGATAAAATGCATTATAAAAAGGTTTGTTTTGGTCATGAGAATCATTCAAAATTTTCATATGTTGTCGTTTGGTTAATAATCGATCATTTTTCATTGATCGTAATTGATTTTTATCAGGTATTATTTCTAATGTAAAACCTTCCGTATCAGCAAAACGAACGCGTTTTTTTTCTGTTATACCATCACTTGATTGACTACATACTGTTGAACGTGTCCATGACTCAAGTTGTTGACTATGATTATCACCAGTTTCATCAACATATTCCGATCGTCGATTATTATTTTTATCTGTATTTCGTTGTTGAAATAACGTTGATAATGTAGATGAATTATCATCAGAAAACGAACCACTTGTTGTGTCTCGATGATAATATTCATTTTTACTATTATTTGTTATTGATGGAGTTGTTAAAGATGATGAAACAGCACTAGAACGTTGATTTGATGAACCAAGTACAGTATAAACATTATCGAAACCTTGCATACTTGTTTCAAATAATGTACCCGTTCCTGAATTAGCTAATAGTGATGAGTTTGATGGAGAATTCAAACTTGATTGTTTTATTCGTGCTAAATAACTTGTTAATTTTGAAGTATTTGTCTGAGTATATGTTTGATCACTTGGCGTTATGGAAAATGTTGTTCTTGGAGACATTCCATAATCAGAAACTGTTCTTAGAATTGGTCGACGTAATGGACTATGTGATTGTTGTTTGAGTTTTTGTCGTAGAACTAATGTTTGTGCTTGCATGTTTTCAGCTGACAATGAACGTTTGATTTGATTATACGTATTAGATGATAATGGAGTCTTTCGAGTATCAAGTACTTTATCAGATGAATGTGAACGAACATTAGTCTTTGGTTTTCTTTTCGAAATAGTTGATGTAATAGATGATAAATCATTTTGATCATCATAATGTTTTAATATTGAACGAGATAATCTATTTGATTCACGTTGATTATTTGTATTTATTAATGACTTGACAGGTACATGACGTGTTTTAACAACACCATATTTATAATCATATGAATTTGAATTATTTCGTGCAATAGGATTATATGAACATGTTGAAGGTGTTCGTATATGTGTTTGATGAGATTTTGATACAGGTAACTGTTGAGATTTTAGTATAGCTGTACGACGAATTAGTCGTTCTTCAGAACTTATACGTTCATATTCTTCAGCGGAGACGTAAAATTTACGTCCTTGTCGATAAATAGGAACAGTATTTGATGTCATATGAACATTTCCCTAATGAGTCTTTGAAAAACAAACAATCGAATTTTTTAAGAAGATAAAAATTTTAAAAAAATGCCAATGAAAAGCTTACACAATACTTTTGCACTTCTCTGAACAGCTGCTGATGTTTGTCGTTAATGATATTATAAATCCGTTTAGATTCAACACATCTAGATAATCAAAAAGATGGAATTATATACTCAAGTATTTGAATGTTAATTTTTTCTTTTTGAAATGTTTTTCTCGGATTTCCATCAATAGTTTTTTTTCTTTGTCGTTTGATACTTATGATTAATTGGTTTCCCGTATATACAAGCAAGAAACAAAAAAACATTGTACATAGTATTATTGTTGTAGTCAAATCATTTTGCGTTTCATCACTCAAAAAAAAAGACGGCAGAAAAAGACAAAAACAGGACCGAAAAGAAAAGAAGTCGATTCGACGTTTGTTGCTATTTTATTTTGTTTTTTTGAATGTTATTGAAAGAATCAATTCATACTGCTTACAAGCCATTAGCAAGTGACATTCGAATCGGTTTTTTTATTATGTGTCTCTCGTTTTTCTTTTTTTAGCAATACATAACATGTTTGTCTCGCTAAGATCCCATTTATAGATGTGTAAAATAACATAACTGATAGAGAAACAAAAATCAGAGCAGTGATTCTTACCATCAGCAAGTACAACAATAAGTCCAATGCTATCTTTTAGAGTTGCGTCATTATTATTGATTTCTATATAACGACATATATATACACTCACACGTTCATTCCAAAACTCGCTGAGATTTTTTTTTCTCATTCTGTTCTTTTTCCTTTCTCTCCTTCAACATTGTATGTTTAGCTGTAAAAAAAAATAGTTTGTATATTTATAATTGTGATATACTCACATGTTTGCATTGAAGAGGAGGTAAAGGATCAAGAGGGAGTCTTCTTTTTCTTCACTTTTTTTTTCTTTTCACCTTACTTTTCTTACTAAGAGTACGATAAATAAAATTATGCAGTCTATGCATGTTTTGTCCTTGAAAGCGGCATTATGTTATAAACAAGGTCACATGTTTTCTATTTCTCTTCATGTATTTCGTACTAAATTAATAATCGAACAAAACATGTTGATATTTGTTGAAGCAATTGAACAAATAATTTTTATTTCATTCCATTCATTGAAATATTTTCTTTAAAAAGCTTTTATTCTATAAAACGTAACAATGACACACATATTATAGTTTAATTTCTGGATAATAATGACACAGTGGATTTCGAGGGGATGGATGACATCCATCCTGATAATAGAGATATTCAATGCCATTCTGTGCTAAAAACGGTTTTACTTGTGCTTTACATACTTCACCTTCTATACCATCAGCACAGATATATTCACGCTGATGCATATATCCAAAATATCTAAGACGTACAATATGATTCTGTGAAAGGAATTGAGTTAGAGCTAATGTATGAATCGGTGCATCACCCCATCGATAACGATAAATACCACCATTACGATCAACTGCATGTAGCCAAGCTCGTATCAATGAATGATCACGAAAAAGAGATACATTAGCAATAGCGAAATTGGTAAAAATAATGTAGAGTGAATAGTTACCAAATAAATCAGTGTGTGTTTGACGAAGAGCTATTGAAGGTTTCAAACAATGGCTATCGAGAAATTCATGAAAAAATGACCATAATCCAACAGCATAATAATCGGCTTCTTCACTAGCCATAATAAAAGCATATTGAATTTGTCGTTTTTGCATAATTTCGAATGGATCTTCAATAGGTTTCGGTCCAAATATGTAAGAATGTGCATCAAGTCGCCAATAGTATGTGAATAATGTTAATAATGGATGATTTGGAAGCATCAAAGTAAAAAAGCGGCACATGTCAGTATATTTAAGTGGCCATCGATGATCACCTACAGGTCGTGGTTGAATCAAATGATTAGAAAATCGAATACGTTCAAAACCTAATGGAGTATGATTACCCAATATGTTAGATAAAGATTTTTGAATATCATCAGCATCAAAATCACCTTCATGAAAAATGACAACAGGTCGAGGATTATTTGATAATAAACGAGATAATTGAATAAGTGATGTCTTAAGTGGATTGAGTTCATTAGTTGTTGTTAAATAGACAATAACACCAAGATATGATGTTGGAGCAACATTTAACCACTTGACACGCCATTCGACATGATTATTTTGTTTATTATATGTTGTCCAATGATACCATTGACCAGTGATACTGTTTTGATATTGCCATTCATCTTGGGGATGAATAGTTTCATCATCAGGATTTCTAGGCGAACATATCGATGATTGTCTATGTTTAAAAATAAATTTAATGTTAAACAAGGTGTATCCAATGATAAGACATGAAAAGATATATAAAAATTGGCATGGTTTTGACTTGTTATATCGTGCATATACACTTATTTTAATGTATCCTCTACTAATGACTAATAGAGTCATAGAGCAGATTGAAAAATCAATCATTCATTCACACTATTGTTGTGTTGTTATTTTTGTAGAATCTTAAAAAAAAAATAAACGACAGATCTTAACAAAATTCGTTGCACAAAAATATTTAACAAGTCTTGATGTATGACGATTGACTTTTGATTCACTTTCACACTTTTTAGAATAAAATAAGAAAACAAATTGAATGAATAATTTATTGCACGATTGCATGAATATTGAATATATTAAATGCTCATTCATCCATGAAACATATATAACATATGATAATGTAAAAAAAAAGATGCATTTGACAGCTTGTCATTTTCGAGATAAGATCTCCATGGAACGAAATACACTGGAGTGTTTTTTTCGAATAATATAATCTTATAACAATATCAATTAAAAACTTTCTATTTTAACTCGAATTTTTCGTAAGTTTTCAAGGCAGAATCACTATTGATCATTCAAATGTCCTTTTGTATGAAAATTGCATAAGAATACAATAGAGGAAATAATTCATTGATACTTTGAAGTAATTGCCATTTGATATACATATATTAAGCAGCACCTATTGTATTGTACTACCATGTCCGACTCAGGTCAGGTTGGGTTACCAAAAGATTTTTCGATTTCCGGATAGATCTGCTATATACTGGTTACAGTCCTTGAGAAAAAATATGGTACTCATATGTATTATGTTCTATGATTAAGTTAAGCAATTCTTCATACTTAAAAATGGTCCTTTTTCTCAAATCTGCATTATTTATTAACTATGCAATATTCCAGTGTATTCCATTCTGTTCCACAGAACAAGTGAGTACTAATGTGAAACTTTCCTAAAAATCTCACATAATGGAGCTCTATATGTTTCACATATAACATCCATCGACATAGCAGAGACTCATTGTTAACTGATAAGATTGTTTCTTAGAATAACCTGTCTTTCTATATGAAGGAGCCGGTCTATTACCAATATTTTAACAATACTAAAGGGCCATATTAAAAAGTTTTATACATCAATAATATGCGGAGCGTGTCTGGTGAATTAATATAAATAACTCTTTTATAAACGAAGAAAAAATGTTTAGACCTTCAAACCCCTGGTTCAGAGTATGAATATATGATTTTAGAAAGGAAATCTATTGTTTTTATTATCCCTTTTTGTTAAATGATTGCTCCGAGTATGCACATTTCATTTATGCTTGGAATTCGAGAAGCATCTATGAATCTCCTATGTTCTTTTTGAAAATAAATTGTCCCATATTCTCGAATAGCTTCGAGGAATCTGTAGGTGAATAAGTTTCTTTTTCCATGCATAAAGAAGTTGTTTATATCAGTCCATCTAGGATGTTGTGCTGGTTTTTGTCCAATAGTTCTTTTTTTTAAATTAAATCGTTGAACATTGTTAAAATATCGTCTTTCAAAGAAAGTTTCACATTGATACTAGTTCTGTAACAAGAGTTGAACATACTGAAATATCATATAGACGAGAAATAGCGTAGACCTTAACGAAAAGGACCTTTTTTACGTATGAAGAAAGTAAGAATGAAAACTATTGGTAATAGGAAATTGAAGATCGCCTATAACGGTATCGAATTGAGTTTAAAAACAAACTTTACGTAAGTTGCTGCTAAACCGTCATGTCTATGACTAGCATATATGTGTTCCAAGGACTATAATCAGTATATCAACACTCAGCACAATAAAATTTTCATACAATCTCATTTCTTATATACCATTCGATGCGCCAGAAATCGCTCGACAAAATCACACGTATAGTATCCTGACTCAAGATAAGTCGAAAAATCTGACAAGATCTTTTAAAGAAACTGTAAAAACTTGAATATTTGACAATAATCGAAAATTGGCCTTTTTTTCAGAAAGAAAGTCATAGGAAAAAAATGAAATTTTTCCCCTAAAATTTCACTCCAAAAAAACAAATGAAAACACATAGTCTTGATTAACTCGTCACGTGCTATCTAACCATATTCTATGCATGTTTTATCGTTGAAAGCGGCCTTATCTTTTTTAAAAAATATTATATGTTCTCTATTTTTCTTTCTGTGCTTCGTTCTCAATCAATAAGCGAGTTATTCATGTTGATATTTGTTTAAATAATCAAACGAATAATTTTTATTTTATTCTATTTATTGAAGTACTTCATCAAAAAAAAATTTTATCCTATGAAAAGGTAACAATGACACACATATCACAGTTTAATTTCTGGATAATAATGACATAATGGATTTTGAGTGGATGGAAAACATCCATCTTGATAATAGGAATATCGAATGCCATTCTGTGTTAAAAACGATTTTACTTGTGCTTTACATAAGTCTCTTTCTATATTACTAGCACAAGTATATTCATGCCGATGCATATATCCAAAATATCTAAGACGCACAATATGATTTTGTGAAAGAAATTGAGTTAGAGCTAATGTATGAATCGGTGCATCACCCCATCGATAACGATAAATACCACCATTACGATCAACTGCATGAAGCCAAGCTCGTATCAATGAATGATCACGAAAAAGAGATACATTAGCAATAGCAAAGTTGGTAAAAATAATCGCAAGTGAATAGCCACCGAACCAACCGGTTTGTGTTTGACGAAGAGCTATTGAAGGTTTCAAACAATGATTATCGAGAAATTCATGAAAAAATGACCATAATCCAACAGCATAATGATCATCGTCTTCATTAGCCATGATAAAAGCATATTGAATGTGTCGTTTTTGCATAATTTCGAATGGATCTTCAATAGGTTTCGGTCCAAATATGTAAGAATGCGCATCAAGTCGCCAGTAGTATGTGAATAATGTTAATAATGGATGATTTGGAAGCATCAAAGTAAAAAACCGACACATATGAAAATACTTAAGTGGCCATCGAGGAAAAACAGACCGAGGTCGATTTGCATTGTCAGAAAATCGAATACGTTCAAAACCTAATGGAGTATGATTACCCAATATGTTAGATAAAGATTTTTGAATATCATCAGCATCAAAATCACCCTCATGAAAAATGACAACAGGTCGAGGATTATTTGATAATAAACGAGATAATTGAGTAAGTGATGTCTTAAGTGGATTGAGTTCATTAGTTGTAGTTAAATAGACAATAACACCAAGATATGATGTTGGAGCAACATTTAACCACTTGACACGCCATTCGACATGTTTATTTTGTTTATTATATGTTGTTGTCCAATGATACCATTGACCAGTGATACTGTTTTGATATTGCCATTCATCTTGGGGATGAATAGTTTCATCATCAGGATTTCTAGGCGAACATATCGATGATTGTATATGTTTAAAAATAAATTTAGTGTTAAACAAGGTGTATCCAATGATAAAATACGAAAAAATACATAAAAAACGACTTCGTTTTGCGTTGCTATGTTGTACACGTGTCATTATTTTAATATATTCTCTGCTGATGACCTATAGTATCATAAAATGAATCGAAAAATCGATCATTCACCTGCGCTCTTCTTTTTTTTTATCGTTTTTCTACAACTGTATAGCGAAGCAAACGAAAGATCTTAACAGCATTGATTGCACGAAAATATCCCATTATCTTGACATACAATCGTTCACATTTAATTAGCTTTGGTAATTTTGTCTTAGAATAAAATAAGAGAACAGGTTGAATGCATAATTTTTTGATCCAGTGTATGAATATCGAACATAGAACAAATTCGTCCATCCGTGAAGTACATCCTTGATAATGATAGGATAGAAAAAAAAACACATTTCCTATGTTGCCATTATTTTAAATGAGACGTACATGAAAAGATACGTAACATCGATATGTAACATCGTTTCGTTTTTTCTTTCGAACTATATAATCGAATCATTATCAAAGTCTTACTATCTTCTTGCTATAAAAATTTGAATTAAAGACATTCTAATTTTAGTTCAAATGTTTTATTAAGTTTCAAAATAGAGTAACTATTAATTATCTAATGTAAATATGTCAAGTAGCATTTGTTGTATTGTATTGATTTCTCTTTACAATGGAAGCCTCATTATCATGCAGAATAGTATCATTTTTTTTTAAGGATAAATCTCAGCTTTTGGTTCACTGAAGAGTTCATTATAACGTCATATCAGATTAATATGCTCTAAATCTATATTAAATTCAAAATAAACATCATGGAAAGTAAATAGTCTATCGACTTTTTCACTTTTCTAGAAGACTTTTAACGTCTAAAATTCAATTATCATTTTTTTTTTCAAAGAAAAATCCTATTGTTTGTTCAATAATAATGCCCAAGGAATTAACATAATGTTCAAGTAAAGTCATCAGCTTTTATTTTATATAGATTGAGTAATATTTCATGCTCGTTGATTTCTCCATATTTGAAATACATCATTTTTTTTCAACATCAAGTCATATTGGAAAGGTATTTTCACTGATCGATAAGTTTTAAGTTTTATATTCAGTCAGAAAAAATAAATAAGTGATAAGATATAAAAAATGACGGCGTTTTGTGTTTCATATTCTTATCATCTGATACATTTCATTAAAATAATATACCAAAGAGGTCCTGCGTGAAAACTTTATTTAATATATGTATCTTTTATTGTCGAAATGGATAAAATCTGTTCAATCAATTTTCGACGTTGTGAATATAGCAAGTTTCCTTCTTAAATGATCAATTTACTTTTTTATGACGTTGATTGAAGACACTTCAGTTCGCGGACAAAGAAATATTTTTTATTGGAATATGTTTATATGGTGAGTTGATAGGAAGTAGACGAAAAACAGAACACAAATCAGAATAATGAATATGAAAAAAAGATTGTGGTATGGTTCAATGCTTCTAAAAGTGGACTTAATTCTCTAATTATATTGAAACTCGACAAAATATCCTCCAATGAAAAATTATATTGAAATTATTACAGATGATCACCAAATAATCTTGACTTCAACGTTTCGACTATTCTGTATGAAACATTACCACTAATAGTATGTCATTGTCCGATGTTAAAAACTATGGTTCACTTATTAGTGAAATAAGAAAAAGGAGTGAAAAATTGCATGTATTAAATAAGCTTTTCTTACTACATCTCTCTCATTTTTTTTTTCTATTATCATACTCAAATATCATTCATGATATGAATTATTATATGACATGCCTAACAGTATTAAAAGAAAAAGACTTGGTTGACTAGTTATGATGCATACTTATCGAAATTTAGATAAAAAAATGATGGTATCATTAGTGAGATTTTAAAATGTGACCATCTTCTAAATTTTTAAGTTTTATTGTTCACTGTTCTTCTTTTTCAAACACTATTTATACATGCATCTGTAGTTTCTTTGTATGGAAATACTATGAGGAAAAGGTATGTTCGCGATAGAACTCGATGGTTCTGGAAAATATGTAATCGAGAATCGAACCGGAACATTGTGACTCGAAAATATTTTATTGATGATTGAGAGGCTGTTCAAGTCTTGCATATTCTAAAGCCAGCGAGATCAATCAACAATTTCACCAGCGACAAACTATGCTTATTGCTCATAGTTGAATGGAAAGAAAAGCCAAAAATAGCTAAAAGTATGATTATGATCCCTGAAAAAATTCTAGCTTCGTTAAAAAAATCACCTTTTTAGAGAAAGTATGGTGAGGTGATATGAAGTATACTTTCGTAATTATTATGACTTTGAGCCATCTTCTTGTTAAAAGCGAGATTTTTGTGCCATAAAAGACGATTTTTCTTACAGTCGTCGTTTGGTGACACGTTCCATATAGTGTTCTATTCTGCTTGAAAGTTCATTTTTTTCAAAAAATGATTCTCACTAAAAAAAAACCATGTATTTCTTTCAATAGAGTTTCAATAAAATCTGATATTATTGATGATTTTGTGATTTAATGTATGTTGCAAAAAAGAAAGAATTACAACAATAAGGATTCAATAGATATCAAAAATCTGTATGATAAATATACTAAATTTCTCTATATCTTACTAAGAACGACCTATAAACTGAAATGTCTTTTTATGTGTAACAAGGCATCCGTATTTTTTCACAGAGTTCTAGCTCAATATGATTCTCTATTAACGAAAAGATTATACTACTGAATAACAGTCATGATTCATTTTTTGTCTTTCGAAGAATTTCATTTTTTAGAAAAGAATAAATATTAGAAATTTCTAGAAAAAAAAATTATGATATCAAGTATCTGACACACTATTATTAGATCACTGGTTCCAAAGATACTTGTTAGGAATCGAAATTCGAATGGTTTTGTCATTTTTATTAACCCGAATCGTCGATTTCTAGCCTACTAGCACACAACCTGATTGGCTTAAAAAAATATAACAATATAAGAATATGATCTGACATTGTGAATCAGATACTGTTTAAGGTGTTCATCATCAAAATGAGCATGAAACAGTTCAATGCGCCTAACTTTTAGATTTTATCTTCAAAAGGATAAAACACGATGTCATTATTTCTTAGTCATTGTGCATCTCTATCACACATTAACGACAGCAAGCTTTTTACATATGTCAAGATTTTGTTTGTCTATGAAACTTTAGTTTATAATATGACTGAGCAATCATATTTCACAGCATCTTGAACTTGCATACCACGAAACAGTGATCTGAACAGGCTATCAGTAGGACGCCCGCTAAGATCCGAAAATTAGGCGGATGTACGGGAGAGAAGGTAGTGAAAATTTTCACACAGCTGGTACGACATCCTATTGTCTTTGACTCCGTTAGACAGGGTATTGACATAGAACTTTCAATTCTTGGTACGAATGTACATCATCTTCTCCATTTTGATGGAGCCTAGCCATTGGATTTGCTCTTCTCGAGTATGGGTGAGTGTAAGTGTAGACTTTTTTAATCTTAACAAATACTACACACACTCACACCCACACTCTCTACTGTTAAATCTCTTACTCGAATACAATCTTTTTTACTTACACCTGTTAACATTTATGGTGGTAACATAAATAATAGTGAAAATGAAATATCTTTTAATAATCTTTGAAAATTTTTGGACTTTGACTTCGTCGAAATATCTATAGAAATATTTTATGAAGCTTTCATTTTTTTTTATTCATATGTAGAAACTTCACTTGTCACATCTGTAGAAGTCGTATCAAATGGAAAATTATGTATACAAATAATAATTTGACGATCACGTTCTAAAAATACATGAGTTTCAGGGTTTTATGCTAAATTAAAATTCGAATAAATATGATATTAAAAGATAAAATCAGATAAAAATGAATTTCCTTCACATGCTCATTGACTCTATACATAGGATTGTATGAAAGATATGTCAATGTAAGTGTTTGGATATAGGTATGATTCATTGACTTGATGAACTTCTTACGCTACTCTACTTTCGTTCCCTTTTATACAAGCCCGTGGGATAGCATCATAGACCTTTCAGAGAGATTTAACGTAGTCTTTGTTTGTAAATAAGTGCATCGAGAGACTTTTGACATACGTGTACATTTATCTGACTAGTGCGGAGCATCGTCCACTGTGCTACAATCTGCAAACAAATAAGCAAACATTGAAAGAAATTTATTTATGGCAACGTAAAAATCAACTAATACATATTCTCTTTTACTAGTGCAATACTTTTTTTGGCTGTACAATATATGGATGTGCCGGAGGGAAAGATTTTTGCAAAATACTAAGTGATTTTTCATAAAATGGGAGTGGTTTAGAATACTCTCTCATGTTATAATACAGCACACCGATGTTAATGTAGAAAGTAGCCAACTCTGGATGATTCGGCTGGAGAATTTTTCCTTGATATCGAGTGATTTTTTTCGTGCGATGATAGTGCTTTCTTATAGTCGCGTATATGATCATACACCAAACCAATGTTGTTATAGAAGTAGCCAATGAAGGATGGTTCAGAGGAAGAGATTTTTGCATAATATCAAGACCTTTTTTTGAGAAACGAAAGTGCTTTCGAGTACTCGCCTATGCTTTGATACACATTACTAATGTTGTTGTAGGAAATAGGTAATAAGGAATGGTTTGAAGAAAGAGGTTTTTTCTTGATATCGAGTGCTTTATGGTAAAACTCAATAGCCTTATTGTATTTACCTTGATTATCTTTGATCAGTCCAAGATTATAGTAGCAACCGGCTTTATCATTCTCATTCGATGTTTGTTTGAGCAATGTCAAGTACACTTGTTCTGCTTTGGCATTCTCACCTAGTTTCCATAACAAGAAATCCATTCGTTGCCACCCGATTCCAGTGATTTCCTCTCGTTTTCGTTTAGTACGAGTTTTGAGTTGTTGGTCATCATTGTGACTGGTGAGTGTTAGTTTCACTTGCCACAACGTCATTCCACCGTCTTTAGTTTTTTTGATATGTTGGATGCGAAAAATTGTGTGCATGGAAAAGAGAATTTCATTTTCTGTTTTAAAATAACTAATTTCGTCAATGCGGGCAAACGGAGCCGATGAAATCGAACGGTCAATTGTCATTTCGAGGAGTACACCGATTTTGTTCTTGTTGTGGGATTTGAGCACTTCTTTAATAAATCGAATAGCCACTTTTCGATCGGCACTTGTTGAAAAGAAATTATTAAACGACATAAGTCCACCTTGTTTGATTTTATTTTCAAAATTTTGTTTGGTCATGGTTTTACCTTGATAGACTTTGATTGTTTTTGGATCATCCTGCATTTCATTCGTTTGTTTCGAATGGAGTTTATTGATATTTTGATGAAGATCTCGAATGAATATGCCCATTTTGAGCAAGATCTCGACTCGTAGAGTACCCAGTGCTTTGTTGAGCATGTGGTATGTGAAACATCCCAAATATATACCACTAGATGGGCTTGTTATTTTGGTCTAAATTACTTTGATATTCTCGGGCGAACTCGTCAAGCATTGCCAAATGTTCATCGTTGCCGTTATACTTTTTATGTGCGTATTCGGCTGAAGCATTTGTTTCTTTCGTTTCATTGAGATCGATTTCAAGAATTATTTCTTTGAAAAGTTGTATATATATGTCGGAGTTGACATTAAAATTCAGTTGCCTTTAAAAGGCAACTAGTTCAGTTTAAAATTTTATTGTCAACTAGGTGACATTAAAATTAAAGAGTCAACTAGGATGGAGCTAGTTGACTTTGAAATTGTATTGTCAACTAGGTGACAATAAAATTAAGGATTGAACTAGGATGAAGCTAGTTGACTTTCAAATTTCAGAGTCAACTAGTTGACTTTAAAATGTAGATATTTAAAGTTGTTATGCAATAATCGATAATACATAGTTATAACTGGGGAAAAACAACCAAAGTAAATTCGACAAAGATTTTCTTGATAATTTTGATACATTATTTCATTTAATAATAATGAAAGAAATATTCTACACGAAGTTAGATGCCTATCTGAGTGCGTTAAGTGTGAAACGACGATCAAAGTATTTGACAACAGCTGAAACGTACGACAAAGTGTTGAAAGTGCTAACAAATGAAAAGAAATACGATCCATCATTTAATTTTTGGGCAAAAAGGCCGTTTACTGTTGTTACATTTGGTGGTCAACGAACAATTTACTGTAAAAAAGAAAAATTACCTATTGTCATCTATGAAAATCTGTTTCAAACAATTGATAAATGTCATAATGCTGTTGGTCATCTAGGTAGAAATATTGTTGGTTTAAAAGTTTCAGATGTTGATCGTAAAAATACTTCCTCCACAATTTTGCCTTGTAAAATAGTTGATAAATATTCCAAAAATGCAAAACTTATGCACATAATTGCTACACAAAATGGTATTATAAAAGAACATTTTGACTCAACAGCATTTTTAGATCTTACTAATGCGAATTTTGCATCATTACGTTCTATTAATACCAATGAATTACCATCCATTACTTTTATTCAAGCAAGTCAAATTTACACAAATTTTAAATTAACAGAAACATGTAAATGCTCTAGTGGTTGCAATACTAATCGATGTTGTTGCAAGAATAATAATAGAAAATGCTGTACCAAATGCCACATTCATAGGAAATCAAAATGTAAAAATTGTTAGGCTTTTGGTATGTATTTTGTTGTGTTACAATATCTCGATTTTCTTGTTATCTACTGTTTGTCTTTATTCAGTGTTTATTTTTTTTCTCAAACTCATCTATTTCATAAACATGCTACTACTTTTCGTATGATACAAATTTAAATATCTACATTTTAAAGTCAACTAGTTGACTCTGAAATTTGAAAGTCAACTAGCTCCATCCTAGTTCAATCCTTAATTTTATTGTCACCTAGTTGACAATACAATTTCAAAGTCAACTAGCTCCATCCTAGTTGACTCTTTAATTTTAATGTCACCTAGTTGACAATAAAATTTTAAACTGAACTAGTTGCCTTTTAAAGGCAACTGAATTTTAATGTCAACTCCGACATATATAAACGATAGTTCGATTTCATTCAACGACAATACAGCACTAATCATGACTTAATCTTCGTCATATTGTTGAGCAGTTTGTCGAACTGAGTCACAAATTCGAGTAATTCCTATGAAAATACCTTTTACTTTGAACCAGTCTTTTTGCCGATTTTTCGTACTTCGATTGTTTCTGACAAAAGACATAAATTGAATAGAGTTGACTCATATGATGAATACATGGCACAAAAGTTCCACATAAAGCACCAGAAATAATGAGAAATGCCTTTTCTTTTTCAAGTTCTGAAATGTTTCAATGGTATTCGAAGTTCGTTGTAGATGTTTGATTGAATTATGGTAATTCTTCGGTAGATTGGTCGATTCGTGCATCAAACCAAATAAAAAGAAAACTTTGAACAATTTCGTGCGAATTAGTGCGATGAGCCTGTTATACAACGGTATTCGAGTTCAATTGCAGATTTAAATTAGTAGGTGAAGGTAATGATGATGGCGTTACTGTCTTAGTAGGATAATGATGGTTGTGAACTACAGTGTGGTCCAAAAGTTACCGAGCAGTCAGTCTTTGATTTGAATAACTTTTGATAGGAACAAGATAGAGAGCTGCGACTTTCATCGTTCGAAAGAGAGTGCGTTACTGCATAGTTCCATGTATTACTCGACGATCTTGTCTGATGATCAAATGGTGAATCTTCAGAAAAACAGTAATAGCTCTATAAAGATGGTATAAAATTTCAATTCTAAGAAGTGCACTAGAGCCGCAAACTTACGATCGACGCCCAGTCTCATCGCCTAGTGTCGCATCTATAACTTTTGAACGAAAAAAGATAAAAGTTGTGGGTATGGGCATGAGCGTAGATCATAAATACGCGGATCTAGTGCACTTCTTAGAATTGAAATTTTATGCCATCTTCATAGAGCTGTCACTGTTTTTCCGAAAACTCACCATTTGATCACCAGACAAGATCGTTGACTAATACATGGAACTATACAGTAACATACTCCCTTTCGAACGGTGAAAGCCACAGCTCTCTATCTTGTTCCTATCAAAATTTATTCAAAATCAAAAACTGACTGCTCGGTAACTTTGGAACCACCCTGTATGTTGGAATATGGATTACTCAATAATAAAAATTTTCCCTATTCATTCGTTAACTCACTATCAATATAATCAATATAGCTAATTTCATCGCTATATATTCCTTTGATCACAGACAGACAGTTTTCTCCGGTTATCATACAACAATTGCTAAATCCAATGATATCCTATAAAAATTTACTTTCGTAAGCCTAGTCAAGTAGAAAAGATAACTGTTATTCGCCGCCACTTCACATGCTATCCATGCTGACTACGCCATATATAAATACGATCTTGGAAGAAGTAGCTGCTGGCGCAGATGCACTGCAGCCCGTATTTTACATAACACGAAGAATTATTTGTATCCGTCGTTAAAGTATAAACACGAATGAATACTATTCAAGAACGAAGCTTGTTTATTTAAATGAAAATTTTGTTGGACGACGATTTTTCTTTCTCAATTATCCATATACGCTACTTTGTTGACACTGAGGAACAATGTCTAACTTCAATAGAAAAGAACGGCAAGTTATGGCTTCGATTGTTGCCATTTTTCTCTTGTTTCTATATTTCTTTGTGCAGTTAGTATCGAAACGTGATTGCATTGAATCAGTGAGTGTCTTGCAGAAAAACATTATCATTTTCTCTTCCAATAAAACAAACGATTCAATAGTTTCTTTTTCTTCCTTACTATTTCGTTCTGCATGGACATAATCACATTGTTTTTCGATCACATAATCTTTTATCACGATACAGTAAAAGAATGAAGACTTGATTGCTACCATAATACTATTTATTCATTATCGAGATAGAAAATCAGCAGTGCATCCCCCTAATGTGCTACTATTAATGAAACTGATGTCAAGATGCAAAAAGTGAGACTTCAGTACTCCAAAGTACGAATGCAATATTGTATTCTGGTCACTAAATCGAATCACTGGATTTCTGCTTTCAAGTATCTACTATTTCCGACCAACACTAACTATACCTTATTCACCTGAGTTATAATCCAGATGAAATACATATTGTATTGAAAAAAAAATACTATCTTGTTTTCTTATGTATTTTTTGTTGTTTGATTGCTATATATTATTTATAATTGATGTGTCATGCGATGCAACCAAGTCTTTACTTTCTCGCTACGTGCCTTTTGTTTTAAAAAATAGTAAACAAGAACAGTCTAAAGTAAGAAACACAAAGAGAAGAGATTCAATCGAGATGCACTGCTTATCAAAAAAACCAAAATGTAGCCTTCTAAGTGCTTGATGACTTTATGGAAAAATAGGATGAACATAAACGAAAAGATGCATTTTACATAATTAACTGTGGAATCGATTAAAACGTTAAGTTTTATTGTTTGAAATTAGCATATATAAGAGTTTGTCGATAATTTAATGGCGTACCTGTTGAAGAAAAATTCAAGATTACATCTTGCGTTTTATGCGGAAATACTTACAAGATAGACAATATTCTAAACATTTTCGAATACTCTGTATGAGAGAAAATTAAAACCACAATATATTTCTGAATGATAAATTATCTTTTTTTGATGCTTCTCCGAAATTTCCTCTTTTTTTTCTTTTATTCCTTTTCGATTCATATAGCATTAAGTAGAGAAGAAGAAAAAAAACATCACATCACATAACAATTAAAATAAGCAGAAAACAAATTAGTAAAGAAAGAAAATGTTAACTAATTTTGTTTTTATTCTTGACCACCTGATTTTGAACTACCCGATCGACTTGTTGCATAACTATCAGGAAAAATGAAAGATGTTGAACCATTTGCTCGAACATGAAGCAAACGACCAGCATTTGATATTATATTCCAGCCAAGTGTTAATGTAACATTATTTGATCTATATTATAAGAACTATAGTTCATAGTTAAAAAAAAACAGCAATAAACAAACTTTAAATGTTCTCCATCATCCCAAAAATAATATTTCGTTACAATATCACGTAAATTAAGACGTGCATTTTCACCACGTCGAATTATTTTATCCCATAGAACAACTTGATTAAGACTCTAAAAAGTAAAAAATGAAATATATCTATACAAATCAATAAATCAGCCTTATCTACGATTTTTGTCATGAAAGATAAAAATAAAATTCAAATGATAAATATAGTGAAAATATTCGATTTTAAGTTATTTTGAATGCTTATAAAAAATCTCATTTTATATTGATAGTGCTACTTCTGATGAAAACAACTTCAGTAAGTAATAAGTCTTTATTATTGACATGAGTCTTATCACATAAAATGCATCATAAACAGTCCAAGAAAGTATTTATTCATGGTTATTTCTTTTTCAGTTAGTTTTTTCTGTAAAATATCATGCTTCTTCTCTGATCATCTTCAAAATAGTCTTTTGAGTTTTGATTTTAATTAATCGAGTTCGCAATGGGACTAATGAATCGTGAAAGTATTAGATTTTCAAGTATCTTCTATCTGCAGATATCAATATTAGAAATTTTCTCATCTGAAAAAAAAAACAAGTTTTCTTCTACCTTTTATATTTCAGCATTGCAGAGAGTAGTAAATGCACTACAAACGTTATATTGTTTTGTACAGATACAATTCAGAACTTGGAAGATAAAATTGACTGACAATTGTTTAATGTTATGTCAGAAGGAAAAAATTTGAAGATATATTTGGAAATAGCGAAACTCTCTGTTTCTAAATAATACTAACCAGGTATCTTTTAGTGGTCAAAAAATGAGCGAATATATTGTGTCAAAATTTTCGTGTCATAGGCTATATTTTGTATTAAAATGAAAATTTAATAATTTATCTAACTGTTTCTAGCTAGGAGATATCACTTTCGTGTTTCTTTCTTAAGAGTTGGAAACGTCAAACAATCTCATATAAAAAGATAGATAAAGTTATATGAACACTTTGGTATACATAGAAAATGCAGTTTGGGATGCGTTCTCGTTTCTTGAAAATGAACTGTTCAAGAATGAAAACTTTGACATTCTAATTTCAAGTCATACCATATTTAAAATTATAAATCAAAGTAAACACTCACATTAGTGGGCGTAACATATTCTGCGAGTAAATATAAAAATAATTGTTTAACATTCCAATCAAATAAATGATCAAGATCTAAACATATTCATATTAATTAAATTTTTATCTTCAATTATTCTTCTACATACTCATATCTAAATTAAGTTGTAATACACCTAAGTCATTTTTTTTTCGATTAGCCGAAAAATCCGTCATATGTTTTCTATAAGAAAATAATCAATTCATTATTCATTTGATATTTTCTACTTACACAATTGGTTTATTGACTCCAATCGATACAGTACCATGATATTTTTCAAAATAAGTTGAAAGAAATACACCAATTGTTAGAACAGCAAGAACAGTTAATGTAAAAGCAAATAGTGTATTTAATCGACTTAAAAAGGAATGCATTATAATCTAGAAATGTAATCACTTTTTTTTTTTGTTAATCTAACATATTTTTTTTAACACACCGAGACGAAAAAAAAATGAACACAATTAGTATAATAACACAAAGAAAATGGACTAGTACAATAT